TCCTTTTCACCCATTCTGCCTGGCCTCTCATTGCAGGCTGCCCCTTTTACCTGTCTAGCTGAGCTCAAAGACATGGGCTTCTCCTTCTCTGTCGCCTGCCCTTTGCTAGTTCCAGAGCTGGAGTAGTGTTTTAAGTGGTGAGCTCTGCTCAGGGCACTTACTTAAGTCCCCAGGTTCCAGAGCCACGCCTGACATGCCCCCCTCCCCCCCCCGCCCACCTCCCCTGTCGCCCATAAGAGCACCAGGAAGCCAACACTTGGCATGCCACATTGGAGAGGCAAGGCGAGAGGCTCAGTATACAACACCCAGAAGTGGGGGGCGGGGGTTAGCCCTCATTTTCTCAACACCACCCTGAGGAAGTTTTTCAGGTATCTTAGGATCCTCATGCACCCCACCCATGGACTCAAAACGACTGCCCCACTCAGGACCAGGTGGGGGAGACAGCTGTGACTGTGGGTATGATGGGACTTCGGGGCTGATGCTAGGCTGTCTCTCCCAGTTGCCTTTACTTCTTGTGGTGCGCTGCAGCAGGCAAGACCTGGGTGGCGTGTGCGGAGAAATAGAGCACAGAGCTTCAGCTTGTGCGCTCTGGAGTCAGCGCTCTGCTCGGGTCCTTTATGCTCTTCTCTGCTTGTCTGGCACAGACTTCCTCTGTTTGTTTTTTTCTTACCTGAAAAAGCAGGTATTTTTATATCTTCCACTCAAAGGTGTTAGGGAGGTGAGACGGGGAAAGATGTTGACATCCGCTACACAGAGAGATCTTGTGAAACTGTTCCGTTTCCACGTTTAGTGTTACTGGCGTTAGGAAGCCTGAGTGAGTTTCTACGTGCCTTTGAAACAACCACGAAAGGCAGATACAGGGGTGCACACTTGCAGTGTCAACACTTAGCAGGCTGGGGCAGGGGGCTTGGAAGTTCCAAACTGGCTTGGGCTTCCCAGAAGCACCTGTTCTCTAAGATAAAAAAATGGTTGTTGTTTTTTTTTCCCCTATGGTGTGTTCCTGTCTTACTCAGACCAATGCAGATACAACACTGCTTTCTATGCCTCCGGGTTAGATCTGAAAACTTCGTTTAGAGCTACACAAATAATATGTAGGATAATAGTGCTAGAGACAAAGCTCTGGAAATTTCCACCTTGTTCTGCAGGGGTTCTAGGACAAAGAATCCCACCTGCTCTTAAGGGATCTCAGATTTCATAGAGAGGGTCTGGTGTGGACTAGCATGTGTGTGTAGACTCCATGGAGAGGGTCTAGTGCGGGCTAGCATGTGTGTTTAGACTCCACGGAGAGGGTCTGGTGCGGGCTAACATGTGTGTTTAGACTCCACGGAGAGGGTCTGGTGCAGGCTAGCATGTGTGTTTAGACTCCATGGAGAGGGTCTGGTGCGGGCTAACATGTGTGTTTAGACTCCACGGAGAGGGTCTGGTGCAGGCTAGCATGTGTGTTTAGACTCCACGGAGAGGGTCTAGTGTGACCTAGCATGTGTGTTTAGACTCCATGGAGAGGGTCTAGTGTGACCTAGCATGTGTGTTTAGACTCCATGGAGAGGGTCTAGTGTGAGCTAGCATGTGAGTTTAGACTCCACGGAGAGGGTCTAGTGTGAGCTAGCATGTGTGTTTAGACTCCATGGAGAGGGTCTAGTGTGAGCTAGCATGTGTGTTTAGACTCCATGGGGAGGGTCTAGTGTAGGCTAGCATGTGTGTGTAGACTCCATGGGGAGGGTCTGGTGTGGGCTAGCATGTGTGTTTAGACTCCATGGAGAGGGTCTGGTGTGGGCTAGCATGTGTGTTTAGACTCCACGGAGAGAGTCTGGTGCGGGCTAGCGCATGTGCTTAGACCCAGTGGAGAGCATCTTTTGCTGGCTGGCATGTGAGCGTAGACTCCTTGCCTAGCTTTTGTACTGTGCTTTGCAGCACAGAACGCGTCCATCTTCCAGCTCAGCGTCACACATACTGTTTTCTAGTAGCGACCTTTACTAGCTTTAGTCCATAGTTTGGGGTTCAGAGATCATTCAATGCAGTAACCAGTTGGCTATCCCTTCCCTGCATGTTCTTCCAGGATCTTTTCCATAGGAAACACTAATAAATTGTTTGAATCATATATTTTTTTTTTTTTTTTGGTTTTTCGAGACAGGGTTTCTCTGTGTAGCTTTGTGCCTTTCCTGGAGCTCACTTGGTAGCCCAGGCTGGCCTCGAACTCACAGAGATCTGCCTGGCTCTGCCTCCCGAGTGCTGGGATTAAAGGCGTGCGCCACCAACGCCCGGCCTGAATCATATTTTTTTAATTGAACTATTGGCTTCATAGAGGACGTTGAATTTAAAAATCACAGTTTGGACACAAAGAGCTCAATCAGTGCTAAGGAGGCACACTCTGAGCATTATCTTTGGCTTTTAGAGTCTCATTGATTAAAAAAAATAATAATACTTCCTTTGCTGCTTGGCCCACACATGTAGCCTCAGCTTGGCAGCACCACGTTTGAAAAAGCAAAACATTCAACTGCAAATGAGCAAATGTAGACTCAGGAGGTGCCCACTTAGGTCGGCGGCCTGTGTGTGAGAGACGAGAACATTACTGTCAAGGGTGAGGTAAAGAGCAAACGAAACGATGGTTTCTTTCTTAGGGGGGCTAAGGAAAGGACTAGCTTTGCAGACCCAGCCCCTGCAAGCTGAGTGACCGTGGCAGAGCTCCGTGACCTCCCACTTGCCATGTACAAGGCCATCTCACCTGCTGGAGTAGCCATCCTTAGCTGGTCTCTGCCTCAGAGGTGCCAGGGTGAGTCACAGAAGGCTCTTCTGAAGCCCCACCCCAAGATTCCGATTTAATTAGTCTGGACTTGAGCTGAACCAAGGACCTCATAAACGCTTCCCAGGTGGTTTAATGTCCTTTCCCGGGCCTGGGACTATTACTGTTTCAAAGTGATTTCCAGTGACTTTAAAGGACCCTCATTCTTAAGAGAAATCCTCATATGGTGGAGCAGCATTTGCTTCATTTGCCCAGAATCAGAGTTTTACAGCTAAAGGACTTTTCAGGAGCCATGTCCATCATAGCAAATGAGAGCTCTTGAAACACATGATGGCCTCTCATGTTACAGGCAACTTGGGGCTTGCCTCTGTCTTAATTCCTGGCTAGTTCGATGCTCTTGCCTGTTTGGACAAAGTGGAAATGTGTTTGCCTCTGTCAGTACCACAGTACTTGAGAATTCACCTCCACCTACGTGATCCAGCCTGTTGGTTGTCTCTTGAGAGCATGCATTCCTTGAGCCTTGTGTTTTCATCTGCTTTGCTCACCGTTGACTCCCCAGCCTCTCACAGCCTTGCGATGTGGTGGGTGCTGAAGAAGCGAATGAATGAATGAATGAATGAATGAATGATGGTGGGTTTTTCAGGTGCCCCGTTAGAAAGAGGAACCTTCTTCACACTGTCACCTCTCTGGAACCTCTAAGAGGGTGAGGTAGCTCCGCTCAGCTTATAAGTAAGTCCCTTAGCCTAGAGAAGAGTCTCTGGTTGCCCCAGCTGAGAGTCTCCTGATTGGCATGTTCTCAATTTGTTCCTTAACATACGGTTGACCTCACCAGGTGGCTGTGGGGATTGCCTGAGTTAATGTATTTTGAATGTTCAGCCATGTTAGGACAGCATTTAGCCTCCTGAAAAGGTCATCCAGTCTCCCTTCCCCTTCAATTGGACGACAGCAACAGAGAACATAAATACAGTATGTGGTCGTTGTTTACAGTACTTGTGTCCTATTAGGTTGCTGTGAGCCCAGAGTTGGTGAATCCTAACTGGGGGTAATACAGATGGACCCTGGCAACCTCGTTTTGTGTGTGTTTCTGTTAAAGGCTGCTGTGTGCTGTAAGGGTTTGATTTAGGGTTACAAGTAAGTGTCTGCAAATATAAAGCCTGTAAGGGAGGTTATTTGGAAATGACCATCTCAGCAGCAAGCTGTAGGGACCTTGCAAGCCCTTTGAAGGCAGAACGCATGTGTGGTTTGGGCTTCCTTTCTATATCTCACCATAATATAGTAGTGGGCGTAGAGCAGATATGTGAGGAATCATTTGAGGGCTGGCTCTTGATCCAACAAACACATTCTGTCTCTGACTTTGCTGTCCCCATAGCAAGCTGGATTTTGTCCTGACCCTTGATTTTCTGACCCTTAACTCCCCACAAATAGAACTTCCACTCTTATTTCATAGGGCAGCATGAAGGTTATAAGGGAGATTCCTCCCCCCAACACACACCCATTTCTTCTTCCTTCCTTCCTTTCTACCAGCTAGTGGAAAATGAGTCCCCTTATTCCCACCAAGTGCTTGCTTTTTATATATGTTGTGTTGTGTGCCAAAAGAAAATTTATGTCACAAGAAAGATACTGACATCTCTCTAAGGATCCTGAAAAACTGATGTCTGTCCTGATTGGATGGGAGGTGCAGAAAGGCGGATTAGACAGTAAGACCCAAAGTCAGATAGCCCCTGTGCAAGCCAAGTCAATAAAAACACACAGACATGAAGGATGGACACACATACATACATTCCTGTACACTTTATTCCTAATCACCAGAAGCATATTTCCTGGGAGTAAAAAAATGAACAGGGGAACAGTCACACTTGTAACCTATACACAGAATGTACAAATACATTATAATTTGACTACATACTATAGGAGCTTATAAGTGATATAACTGTCTTGATACATGGTATATAAATGAATTTGTTATTGCTTCACCCAAAGTGACATATGGGGATGGAGATAAGTGAATCTTGTTTGTTTTAATTGAACTAACAGTATTAATAGAAAAGAATCTTAAAAATTGTGTTTATGGATGGCTCAGAGCATAAATGCACTAACTGCTCTTCCAGAGGACCCAGATGTGGTTCTTAGCACTCACGTAGGAGCTCACAAACATCTCTAACTCCAGTTCCAGGTGCTCTGACACCCTCTTCTGGCCTCTGCAGGCACCAGGCATGCAGATAGTACACGGACATACATGCAGTCAAAACACCCCTACACATAAGAATCATTTTTTTTTTTAATTTTTCAGTCAAAGTCGTGTACTTAAATACCTTGAGAAATGCTAGGGAAAATAAGCAGTAAGTTTGTCTCTCTCTATCCAGTTCCTTTGCCAAAGAATAAAAGGAGAGTTTTGAACAGGTGCAGTGACTTGCTGGGACAATGAGAGTGCTGTCTTCCTGTCCGTCTACAACAACCCGGTATCAAGTGGTTGACCCTGTGGACAAACCAGGATGGATTTAGAGTCTATATTTATAAATACTTGTTCATTAACGGCCGCCGCCGCCGCCGCCGCCGCCGCTGCAGAGCTTCTACGTGTCCGGGGAATATAGGCAAATTTCATTTCATTTTTACTAAAGATGTTTTTGTTATTTAAAAAAAACAAAAAACAAAAAAAAAAAAACCAGCAACCAACGTTGCCCCAGCACTCATAAACCTGTGGCAGGGAGATCATGAGTCAACCTAGGAAGACTGTATCTGAAAAAACAAAATAAAATAACCAAAAGGGCTAGAAATCTGAGGGCTTCGCTAAAGGCAAAGACAGTCCTTGTCCTTGGAGCTGTCCTTGAGTCCTTAACAGAGGCCGCGGGGTCTCGTTCCTCCTTTTCCTCTGAAGCTTCAGGCGCGCCCCGTCAGCAGCCTTAGTCCTCTGTAAGGCCATTATTCCTGCTAATAATATTGCTGACAGGATGCTTACAGCTCGGAGAAGGCTGCCTGTGGTTTCCGGCAGAATTTTTCACATTTTCGAGTGAGAGATAACAACACAGTGGGATTTATGAGAATTTCCGTGTAGGTGAATCTGTGTTATCATCCTTTTAATCCTCAGAAGAAGGCTGTGGTACGGTATGGCCTGTGCATTATAAAGTAGGCCACCGTGATGTAGTGCATCTGAATGCCCAAGCAGAGCTCCTGTTACCAGGAAATAGATGCAGGTAAACTAAAAATTCAGATGAGTTGGTGTGAATACAGCTACACACACACACACACACACACACACACACACACACACACACACATCCATCACACTCAGTCCCAAACCAGCCACACCTGAGTGCTGGCCACACCTGAGTGCCAGAGCCTATTGAAAGTGGTAGATGTTTCTCCATTCATTACAGCTTGCCTGCCTGCCTGCCATCTTTCTTTCTGGCAAGGTCTTGGTATACAGCCCAGGCCGGTGGCACTCATGATCCTCCGCTTCAGCCTCCAGAGTGCTGGGATTGCAGGTGT